ATCAATGGATTTAGTACATTCTTATCGCGTCCCCTCAAGATTTTGAAATTCGTTCAAAATTCGTTCGTAATCAGTTCCGAACGGATCTGCGTGTAATTTAAAACGTACCGCCTTGGTAGCAAGAATCCCCGTTAGGGATCGTCGCTAATTTCATCAATTATCATTTTCTGGGGGACAGTTTGTTGAAGTGGTAGTAGACAGTCTCTCGGGTGAGAGACTGTGAAGCGCTAGTAAATACTATATTGTACGTAGGGACACGTGATTAGGCGGAGTGACTGTAAACAAGACTTAGGCTAAGCAGTTTTGCTCCAGCCAGCAAACGTGTTGCTAGAGGCTGGGTGGTGACTAGGTATCGTCCATTGATACTGATGGCTGAAGTCGTTGCATAGAACCGCACGTGTGATCGTCACTGAAAGTGACAGAAGTAATTAATATAACAGGCATGTGTCTAGTGAAATGGATATTTCATCTGACTGCAAATGAACAAGTGATTAATTCGTGTTTTTTGGAACGAATTGTGGCAGAAACTTGTATGAATTGGCATCGAGAGTTTGAAAGTCTGTAGAAATGAAATTGCTGGACGTAACTACAATTTTACGTGCAATAGGAGGCAAGAAATTGACTATCCCAACAGAATTGGTTGCCTAAAGTTTTAACATGCCAGGTTTTATGAGTTATAACCCTCTTGAATTACCAGTGAGAATCGTGCTAAAGACTTCGGATAAGCAGCTACCCGTTTCTTGGTGTGTACCCTCTTGTAAACTTGGTGTTTTCATATGTGCAGCGCCTACAATGTCCGTGGTGCGGCCGCTTCGTACACGAAAAAGTGAAGTTCCCTCTCCCGCCCATTCCCCTCCCCTCAACCCCACTAACCTAACTGGCGATTACCACTAACCTAACAATAACCTAACTAACACTAACATAACATAGTGATGTCGGCTCTGAAGTGTAGGCCTGATGTGGCCTGTCGCCGATTCTTTTCCATTTCGTGCCTTGTTCATAGATCTGAACTCGTGTCATTTGACCGGATCTTTTCATGACTGTTGAACGGAGAAAAATACAGAAAAAGGACGGAGAAACATACGACTGAGTTGAGTTGAGTATAGTAAAGTTCCCTCGAAAATTAAGGCTGGAAAAACAGCTGAGCTGCAGCTGGCGAGGGAAACACAGAGGTGTGGTGGAGGAATCAAGGTATCAACTCGTAAGGCGGGTGGAGAGGGGGAGGTGTAGGGGCCAAGAGGGTGGGGAAGGTATAGGAAGGCGAGGCCTGAGCGTAGTCAAGGCACCCCTTGTTCTCCGGTTTCAGGCAGTCGCCGAGGGTTTCAAAAACTTGCCCTCGTTTCACGCACTAGAATTTGACGGGAATAAAACACTTGTACTAGCCGTTTTTCTCACTATTCGCACAATTTTGATTGAACTGCACTAAAATTGAACCTTTCACTGAAATCGTTTCGGTACAAAATTCGCGAGATAAGTCAAACCGGCATAGTAAAAAGTGAGAAAGTTGGGACTCGCAAACACTGCGTGCGTCCTCGATCACTGCTAGAACTCAACAACGCTCAACCCCGCTCAAGGCGATCCCCCTCCCGCCCATTCCCCCTCCCCTCAACCCCTCCCCTCAACCCCTCCCGCCAGTCGCCCTCCCGCCTGTCGCCCTCAACAAGGAGGAGGTGGGGGCGCATCTTCTTGCTATCCCGGGTGACGCCATGGGTGGGCGACGGAAGTCTCCCCGTGGCCACCCGGGTTCAGATAATAATATTCGTTTCTTTCAGTAAATTTTGTGATAAATTTGAAACGCATCAAAAATTTAATTCAACAGAACATATTGAAAAATTTTACCCGAAAAAATTATGAAAATTGTCATTTTTCCAATTTCCTATCATGAAATAATTTAATTTTAAATAGATTTTCAATAAATAATTTCAATTTCTTTATTCCAGGATGATTGTAAAGAGGCAGTCGGTGAGAGCGCCGCGGCCAACGTCCACACCCACCCACTGCCGCTGCTGATTGTCCTGCAGGACCCTGAAGGGGACGGGCAGTAGGTGGAGGGGGCGCCGCAACTCCTGCAGTTACCTGTTGTCCCGGGCGGTGCACGGAAATCACCCGGAGACAAACATAATTATGAAAGTAGTTTAATACATGTTTGTGACCTGTGTAATTACAGCACAGGTCACTAACAAAACTTCGAAAAGCACATTTTAATTTACGATAAAAAAATTATGCAATTTCAAATTTTGATTTTAATTTTTTTTTTCAATAAAAATATTTTAAAATATAGAATTACTCTCTCCGCGAAGATGAATTTCAAAGACCATTATTGCCATTTTATGATCCCTTCCGTCAAGAACGTAGCCTTTAACACTTCTTGAGTGCAACATTATCAGCCGCACGCCACCAGACAGATAACATCCATTGAATTACATCTATCAGCCCACAGGAATGTATCCTACCGTAGTTTTGCCCATCATAGTCTACTGATGCGCTAAAAAAAATTTACACCACCCGCACGGAGCACGCCGGAGCCTTGCAGTGATTATGATGCCCGCCACCGACCCGTCCATATCTGTCCATCACCCGTTTGTCGGATCAGCCTACGGTCGAACGGACACTCGTCGTAGGAAAATAAATTTTTGGAACAGAACTATGCTATCTAAAACCTATCGCCAGATGCTGTGAGCTAAAAGTAACAGTCTGGTGGTACACCGTAGGATTCACAGGCGAGCTGGGCTGATTGATCGCAGTCCGTTGTCCGCTAGTTACAGTTCGAGCTAAAGTCGGGGTATGAAGTGATGATTAGATGCAACGTTCAGTAGTGAACGATCATTGCACCTTGGGATATTCGCTTCACAATATAGGGGAGTAAAGCTCCTAATATTTAAAGCAAGACGATGTCATGGGCTGTCATTAATCTGCGGCTGTTTGGTGGTCATCTGGAAATAGGCTAGACGTTCCTTTCAGGGCTGATAGGTGTACAAATTTGGTGGTACGCGGCTTCGTTCCTATTCAACCATCGACTTCCTCTTATTCTTCCCCCGTCGTAATGGTTCGAAAACCAGACGGATTCAATCGCCTTACGGTTGACTATGGGCACCTCTGTTCAATTATGGTCTTCAGAAGTTCAGAGCTGAACCCACTGGCAGCATGGAGGAAGACCGCCATAAATTTCCTAACTATAAAATTTTTCCGAGACTGATATAACTAAATCCTACCGCCAGATTCCCATAACTGAACGGGCAAAAAAAGTTTCAGCATTCCATACCCATAGAGGCTTATCGGAACTCACTGTAATGCCGTTTGGCGCAGTGGGCGCTTGCGCTACCTGCTACGTACGTGTCACTTATGAGATTGATATTGGACGGCTTAGATGTCTGCTATTTTGAGAAGATTTTCATCCATTCGGTATCATTGAGAGACTATCTATATGCCCTGACAGCAGTCCTGGCTCCTCTTAGGCAGCACGAGTTCACCGCCCGCCCCGCCAGCTGCCGCTTCGGTGACCCTGAGGCGAATCGCTTGGGATTCTTCGCAGGGCGAAATTCAGTTGCACCGAAATACGATAAAATAGTCTATAGTAGTAATATAGTGTAGTATACTAATAGTATATAGATAGTAAACACATCCCACAAACTTCTTGGATTAATCAGACGCTCGTACGAGTTCCTAGATGCAGATGCGATGAAGCAGTTGTTTGCTGCTGTCGTACGCCCGAATCTAGAGTTTGGAAACGTTGTCTGGTCACCGAGATTTGAAAAGATAAAAATTTGATAGAAAATGTTCAAAGACGTGCAACAAGGATAATTCCAGGCTTGAAGGGCAAGTCCTATGAAGAAAGATTAAAGATTATGAAGCTTCCAAGCCTCAGTTATCGACGTCTGCGTGGGGACCTCATTGAAGTATACAAGTATACTTATGGCTTATACAAGGTCCCCGAAGGAATACTAAAATTTGAAACAAGAACCAGCACCAGGGGCCACGGCTATAAACTAAAAAAAAACTGCGCTGCAACTTCTCCACGCGACAAAATTTCTTCTCGCTTCGAATCACCGACATAAGGAACAGCCTCCCCAATGACATCGTTGGCGCTCCAAGTATGAACGCGTTCAAGAACAGACTAGATAAAGCTATGAAAAAAATATATGTTCAGATTTTAAATGCCTAGCACCATATCGAACCCGGTGGAAGTCTAGTAGCTACTTGAAACTATTGTCAGTCATGAAAATATCCGGTCAAATGAAACGATATTAGATCTTCTGTGAACAAGGCACGAAAAGGAGAAGAATCGGCGACAGGCCACATCACAGGCCTACACTTCAGCGCCGAGATCGTTATGTTATGTTAAGTGCAGCTGCGCCTTGCGGATGTCATTTGTTATTCCAACTGTTACATCACATTGGCTCTTGTGACGTCAAACTGATTTGTAACACCGGTTTTGCTTGAAATAAGACTTGTTGCATGCAGTAAATACATTTTTTGGATCCATTTTATGCGGTCAATTTTTTTGATGCTTTCAAAGATGACGTAAAAATAATATATTGATCTACAGTTTTCTACACCATTCGCATTTGTGACCATAGTGACGTCACTCTAGAGATGCGCATAACGGCGAAAAATCGTCATCGCCGTGGGTCAACCTAATATTAGAGCAACTGTCTGTCTCGTTTAAAAAATCATTTTGTTCAATGCCTATTCCCCTAATCTGTACCAATGTAAAGGCGAAACGAAATCCCAATATCTTGTGTTCCATGCGGAATGCGATGCGACCAGCCTAGAGCCTACCTGCAGCGACAGCTACAGGCTACCTACAGCACTGGCCACTGTAGCTGTACGTGCCCGCATGCCGCATTCAGAGGTTGAGGGTTGTGTTGAGTTGCCGGCAAAATATTCTGCGTTGATGGGCAATTACCTTAGTTACCTATGAATGGGCAGTCCTTGTCGCTACGTGACGGCCGCACGTGGCAAAATCCCGTTTTTCTATAGGCTTGGAGTTGGACGGAATGGACGCTTGGTGAAGGAAAGGTATGGTCACTGTGGTTTCGGTTAAAGCCATCAAAGAGCTCATAATGAGGATAATCGGCTTTACATTACGTCGGACTTCTCTTGTGCTGTTGAATATTGCAGATTCAGACTTGTAGTAATGTAGTGACAAATTTAATTTGAACGCGTTGGGAGTTGGGTCTGTTGGGGTTTAGCCTGGACTCTGGAGTGTCTGGACTCACTTAGTGTTTCATTTATATTTTGGTTTTCTTCATCTTCCATGTTTTACTGTTAGTGTTAGTTTTAGTAGATTGTCAGGCAAATTCAGTTTCCGACTAAACAAATTCAGTTAGCCTAGGCCTACTGCTACTGTCCTAGTCAACTCATACGGTGAGTCATACCTAGGTGCTCGGGCTCCCTCAGTGAGCACTTGCACTTTCAAGAGCAGGCTTCAGCAGTTGAGAACTTGAGCCCATTGACAATCACTGGGTGGGCCAACTGGGCCTCTTTGATCCTGAGTGCTACCATTAGCCTTCCAGTTTTGCTGCCACCTGCGTCCTGGGGTGCATGACTCAAGAGTCTTCAGACTCACTGTGACACTGTGCATGCAGTGTGCATCATCTCCATCTGTGCATGTAATTGTAACCTAAGGTTAATTGGGGGGGGGGCCAGGGCCCCAGGGGGGGTCAAACAAGCCACAAGGTGGGTGTGAACAGGCTCAACTCCCGCTTGAGTGCCTACTAGTACTACTGTACTAGGTACACAGACACCAACACAATCACGTAATATAGCCATATATAGGTATATGTAAAACAGTAAAATAAGCATTGCCACAATGCCACTTCTAAGGAGTTGCAGTTGTGCAGAAATTTCCATTTAAATTATATTTAAAATTATTTTAAATGATTGTTGATTCTTGATTGATAAATAAGTTGGATTTGTGTCAACTCTTTACAATTGTTAATTACTTTTAGTGCATTTTCTCATTTATGGGAAAAGACACTAGGTATTGTGCTTGTAAAGTTGTAATGTCTGTCTTTCTGTGAAAATGTGACTTGTGAGAAAATGCACTCTCTGTCACAGTGTCACTCACTGCAGACTGCAGTGTGCAGTCAGTACTGATTTAATTTTTTAGCTTCTTGGTACTTTGAAATTAGGGTAAACGTGGTATATTCCAACACATTAAGGACGTAGCAAAAAATGAATGACTATAAAAAAATCACCATATGTGCAACTTGAGTTCTGTTTGCTTTACATCACTCTCAAAACACCGCACTACGCGCCAGCAACAATGAAACGTCACAAAATGTTGCCATATTTATTTAAAAGCCTTTAGAATGCAAACCTACCAAATCCATATTTTCCGATGCTGTGTGTGACTAAATTTGGCATTTTGTGAGACTAATTCTGGCTGCGCTTCAAACTCACTAATTCGTAATTCCAACACTCTTGTGTTCAAATTCCAATTGCTGTGTGAGCTGTATTGGAATACAACACAGCTTGGAATTGGAACACTATTGAATATTGAACACTACTTAATTAGGCTTTTAATTAAGAACATTTTAATTTTTGCATACAGCTCGGAATGAGCTATGTGTGTCTAATTCCAAGCTGTGTCGGAATTAGTTTTTATGTGTCTAAAACTGTCTCTTAACTTAGTCATCTATTAATTTATTTACCACTTGAAATCAGCAAATACAAGTATACTTACAGGATTCCTAATATATTCACAGACTTATTTAAAAGTCTCAAACCATAATATTCTTTCTACACAAACAGTTTATCACTATTTGGTAGAGCAAGGTCAACTATCAAGTTTGACTAGTTTTTCGATGTTCTCATTGGGTGACGCGCACTGTCTCTCTTTGAATCTCAACATTTTCCCGCCAGACGGCCCAGACCTAGTGTTTTGGTAATAGTATGGTGCGCAATAGTATGACGTCTCTATTTCAACCATCAACGAATGCGTGGAACTAAGACAAAGCTAAGAAATATGGTATGGATTTGGTTAGAAATAAAGGAAAAAAGTTGAGAAGCATTGGAATTACACACGATGTTGGAATATACCGCGTTTACCCTAATATATTCTAGTGGTGAGTCGTGGGTTTTCCAAGTCACAAGTCATAACAATAAATGACAACATGAGTGTCGTTGACAAATTTTATAGAACAATGAGTTAAGGGTAGGTATATGTTTTGCATATGTGTTGGGATTTGGGATCTGTACATATAGCTATTTTGGGATTTAAATTGTGGTATAAGAAATGATTTGGTGTAGAAAATTAATACTGTAAAAAAATTAGTGGTTGCTATTTTTACAACACTTCTCTTTAACTTCACTTCATGTTTGTTTGTTTGTTTTTCTGTCTGCCATAAATCTTATAATCAATATTTAACACACATCACACTTCTACCTCTCCAATCAATCTGAAATTTTGCACACTTGTGTAAAAGTTGGAGACAATGCTTGAATCAATTGACAGAAATAATTTTAAAAATGTAAAAAATTTTATTTTTGATAATAAAAAAAATGAAAAAAAATAACAATAATTTTGTCTGCTACATAACTTATAATGATATAATCTATATTTAATGCACTTCCACCTGTCTAATCAATCTGAAATTTTGCTCACTTGCATAAAGTTGGAAACAATGCATGTATCAATTGACAGAATAAATATCTGAAAAATTTAAAAAAAAATTTATTTAAAAAATATAATTTGAAAATTAATTTTTTAATATTTTATTATAAAATTAGAAATTCATTGTACATGTGTAACATCAGTCATTGGAGACACTGGATTTGTTAGAAACTAGAAGTGTTGTCTTCAAAAAGTAATTTTTAAATGTATATTATTTTACTTTCAGGTTTCTCCTGCAAATATTTTTATTCTTCATGCACTGCATTGCTCATCATCTCAGTTGAAGAATAACCATTGTTATTTGTTATATACTTGTGATTGTAATTCAATAGAAAGTTAAAAATGGATTTACATGAAAAAATTCAGTCTCCCTCCAGTAGTTCAGTACCAGAGGAAGAAGTTTTCTTTGCAGAACTTATAATTTCTGATTCTGGTGAAGCAGTTGTGTCTTCTCAGACATTGGTTTCTTCTGTGAAAAATTCCTCATTACTCCAACCAAATGTGCCTTCAAGTGAGAAATCTAAATCTTGTTATATTGAAGAAAAATTCAAGCATCTTGAATCTAAAGGTGAAAATTTACTATCTCCAATCATTTTAAAATCCTCTTCAGCACAAAAGGATGATGCCAGAGGAAAAATTTCTGTCACCAAAACAAATTCAGACAGTCCTATTACAAGATCATCAATCACTATAAAAGTTTTAACTCATGCTGAAAAGGATGCATCACCTAGCAATGTGTCCAGTGCAGCTATGAACAAAGATGCAGCTGAAACTAACTCTGAAAGCAACCAAACTTCACTTACTGAAGCTCATATCACCATGCCTGGCCATAATAATCCAGAAATCAATAATTCAAATGAAACAATTGCAGGAGTGAAAGAAGTTGAAGATCATGCATTATTAGCCTCAAAAATTGAAAAAGAATTCAAGAATAATGAAATTTCTGTCCAACCTTCCAGCATGTCAGAGGTGAATTTGGACTCTCCATCTGTTGCAAGGATTGGAATGGAACCAAATGGCCATCTTGCTGATGATGAAAATTTGGGCAGTATATCAGATGGCAAAAATTCAAATGAAATTACTCACATTGAAGAAAATAGATGCTGTGATCAACTCACAACAGATGTTGAAATTTTGGATCATGAAATAAGTTCAACCTTAGAGTATAGAGTGCAGCCTAGTCTCATTGATGTCTCAAGTGATGGAGGCTGGACCTCTGATTCAGAAGCTGACTCAGAAGAGGAGAAGGAAAGTTGTGTGGAAAATGCTGCAAGTAGCAGCTCTGAAGAGGAGGAGAGTAGTTCTGAAGAGTCATCATCTGAAGAATCATCTTCAAGTTCTAAGAGAGATGAACCCAATGCTAGAAATGCTGAAAGAGAACAAATTTTTGTTTTGATGCCTAAAAATGGGAAGAAGTAAGTATATAATAAAATTTATAATTAGTTGAAAAATTGACTGGCAATCTTGTATTATTTAATATATTGCCAGTTTTTGATTCAGAAATAAAAACATTTCAACTTCAAATGTTCAAATACGTACATAGTTTTTGTTTGTATTTTAATCTACAATTGTAATACTTGCTATTTGGGCATATGCTTAACTATTTCATTGATTATATTTTGTATGCTTGACTTTAGTTCTGTTCATGCATTGAGTGTTACATGATTATTTTATTTTTCATATTATAGAACAAAGAACAAGAATGAAGGCTCAAGGCTGCCTCTTGAGATAGGGCTAGAAGACTTGCCTAAAATTGAATACCTGCAAATCAGCGTTCCTGAAGAGGAGGCTCAGAGCATTGGTGTCATCACATCTTTTGTGGAGCAGCTGGGTGAGGGAGACTGCACCACTTGATGGTGTCTGTCATTTTCTCATTGCCAGTACAGTTATTTACACAGATTCATAAAATACCTTCACTGATCAAAGTACTGTTATTTTAACCCACTTTACATATAAAATTTATTACAGCAAAATTTTTCTGTGCTCAAGTCTACTGAGGTGTTTTCATGAATTAGCATCTCAGGCTACAAGGTTATTTTGAAATGTGAGTCTTGTAGAAGAAAGTATAATTTTTCTGTTTGTGATATTTTGTTAGTTAGTAGAAAATCACTTGCATTTCACACCAAGTTAGATAGATTTTCAATATGGTGTTGTTTTCCTGTGACATTATTTATGTTATGATTATTTCTTGTCAATTTTCTCATGCCAAGGTTCCCATTTGGGGATAAATCTGATGTTTACAACCTTGGAAGTCTTTTCTTAGGTAAAATTTTTTTTTTGTTCTGCTATTACTTGGTTGGATAATTTCTTCCTACAGTTACTTATTGCAATAATTACCATTGGTTCAAACAGGCGTTCTCATCATCTTATTTTCAGTATGTTCTTGAAGAGTACAGTCATTTTTATTTGTTAATCATGATGTTCTGTCACTCATGATATTGTCTTGTATCTAGCTGACCAATTTTGTTTATACACTTGTTCCTTTCTTATAATTTGGCCATAGAATTGTGGGAAACAATTTTGAGTAGATTGATATGAGTTCTGTGCATTCATATGAATGTGTCTAGTCTAAGTTACTTAAATTTTCTCTATTTTACTTTTATACACATGATCGTCTCTGCCAACAGTGATTGTGGAATCTTATCCAAACCTTCGAGCCATTGACCTTGGCTCAATATTATTCCTGAAGAATGGACAAGAAGCTCTTGGCGAGATATTTGACGTGATGGGCTGTGTGGACCAACCTTCATATGTGGTGCGCTTCAACAGCCATCAGCACATCCTGGATAGAGGCATAGCAGTTGGTGACATGGTCTTCTCAGCTCCTCGCACAAACCACTGCACCTTTGTTGATGTTGAGGGGCTTATGAGGTAAGTTGGGCGCTGGGTTTCCTGAAGTGCAAGGCCTTGTTTCCCAATGTCAGGCTGCATAATTTCAAAGTGTTTCAACTGTCCCAACTGTTGGTACTATTGTGCCTATGCTGCTTAATAAGATTTAAATAAATGTGGTGCTAGGTATCCTTAAATAAAGGTCCAAGGTTTTACTAAATACATACGGTAATGTTGATTCAAGGTCTTATAAAATAACAGATGTGAATGGCCATATCAAATAACGTAGGTATAAGTCTCATCAAATGAATAAGTTTATTGCTCTCAGCCATTAATTGAGTTGGTACTGCAACATTTGAAACAAAGTGTAAGGTACCTCATTGTAAACCAGTACGGTACTTAGGTTTTTTGGTTTATTGGGAATTGCAAGTTAGGCTTGCATGGATAATAAATTACTCTAAAACAATTTTTCTTTCAACTACCTAGCAGTCCAATATAAAATGATGCAAACTGTGTTTCATTTAGGGCATTGGTTCTAAACATTATAATATTCAGTTTAAAATAAGTATTAAGTAATCTAGTACCTATTCAGTTGAACTAGGTTAGTATACGTATAAGGGTTTGAATATTTAAATTTTGGCGCTAAGTGTTGTCTTGCTTAAAATGAAATAAATTTTGATCTACAGACATGGCGGTAGTGATGCCTCATGGGAAAACGACAAAGAAGCGCCACCGTGCTACGTTGAATATTCTGATGACGAGGATGAAAGAAGCAGCCGTAAGGCTAAGAAGTCAGCTCGTCGCACTGATGATACTTTCATGGTAAAAACATTTTTTATTTTACTCCTAATTAACTCTAAAGTACAGGTTTTTTATTTGAGTTTCTATCACTACAATCTTTTGGTGAAAGAGCTTTATCGATGTATGCTTATCACCAGTGCACCAGTGCATTTTTTCTATAGAAACTTGTGTACAACAATCACTTATGTTAAAAATGTAAATCACGTTGCAGGACTTGGCATTGACATGGAATTGAGTGGCCGGGTTTATGATATTAGTTCAGTTGTAAGAAGGACGGAATATAGGTGTGCAATTCATCATTCAACTCGTCTTCAACGTTACAGTCGAATATGTTCAGCTTTTGTTGAAAACACGTTGAGTAATGTTCACTTGTGAATAGGCCTTCAGAAACCCTTGTACGATTTAGAAGCACTTGAAAGAATGATTCTTATTCCTCTTTACTTTTATTGACTGAACATTTTTTTATTTCTTCGAGAAGTAAAAAACCAGTGTTTGTATCTAACTTGACTGTTTGCAGATAAAACCGGAACCATACCAGAAGCGAAGTCGTCCTGCAAACAATCGCAGCAACACCAACAACCGCGGCAACAACAACAATTACTTCTCTCGTCCCACATCCAGTTCGTTTGGATGGACTTCAAACGATATTGCCGGCCCGCACAAAAGAGGCAATCAGATTGCCTCTGGATATCCTTTTGGAAACCATCAAACATTTGGAAACAATCGACCCTGCAACCGAAAATATGCTGACTTTTCCGTCATGAACTCACAAGGAAATATGAGTCGGCCAAGCCCTGGGGACAAAGACCCTTGGATGTTTGGGAATAATTCCGTCAGTGCCAATACTTCCCTACCGCCGCCCCCTCCCTTCACAGGAGGACCAATGTTGCGGCAACCATATTTCCCGCCACATTCAGGACCTCCGCCGTTCATGCCACGACCTCCACCCAGCTTGTTCAATACCAGCATGTCTCCGCCTACTTCAGGTGTGATCAGACCTTACGTTGCTGCGACGCCTCCTCCTCCTCCTCCTCCCCCCGGAGAAACCCTACCTTCTAGCCATGGGGAGTTCAGACCACCTCCTCCGAGAGAAACTCGCCCTGCTCTTACTTGCCTTGGGGAGTTCAGACCGCCACATCCTCCTTCGCCTCACTCTCGTTTCAATGTTACAACGCCTCCCCCATCTAATTTCTTTACTGACTCCTCGGGGTTCTCATTTGGGGGACCACCTTCAACATTTTCCAGCATGAGATCTCAACCCCAAATGTATACTCATGAAACTCCTCCTCCCATATCGGATCAGGGAAATTCTGCTCGTACCTTTCCGTTCGGCGGCACTAACGCGCCGTCTGTGCCTGTTCATGGTTCAAACTCTGCTCCAGTGCCTCCGCCCAACATCAACCCCTGGGCCGTTCCCCCACCATCGCTCCAACAGACCTTCCCTCCAGGGGCTCATGGTAATTTCTCAAGTTATCCTCAATCATCTGACTCCAGATCGTTTTCGGCTCGTTTGCCTTTTGACCCGACCATCAAGCCTCCTTCAAGTTGAAACTCGCTTGTAATTAGACCATCCGTGCGCTGTGTTCGCTCATCCAATCAAACTAAAGACCTGCTTGTCGAGATCAAGTAAGCGAAGTATGTATTTTTACAGTTATTGCTTCATTGAGGATTGTTGCAGTGATTAACTGCGAGACAAAAATTTTTTGCTCGTACCAAGAGAGTAATTGTTATGAAATTCCTCTTGAATTGTTCAACGCTGGTCCCTCAGCATTTTAAGTTGCTTAATTATCTAACCTCCTTTTATTTGGAATGGCATACTTAATTTTTTCAAATTCCCTCAAGCGGCGCTATCAGTTTTATCATGCTTTGTAAACGTATCAGTAGTCAGTCATTCAAGTAAACTGAAAGAATGTTTCAATATTTTCTGTTTCCTAGTTTTGACGGTGAAATTTTGGATGAATTGGTTCAATACCCATCTAATCTATGCCGAACATAAACGAATACGCGAGTAAATTAGGATTCGCAACTTAGTTGGGAAAGTCAATAAAACTATTTGACACATTTGGCCTTTATTGTTCTGCAAAATAGACTATTGAGAAAAGGGCCGAGACTTTTAGTCCAATTTACATTGGGCGGGTGCACCGTAATTCATCAATAAAGAAGCTAACACGTTCATTAGAACTCAAGTAGGTACAAGATCTAAGATATGTTCATTTGCTGTTGTTTCTAGCCTGCATCATTTGTCCGCGTGTTTCAAGATGCTCTCACTAATTCAAAAATTATGCTATGTATTCAGCTACAGGAAAATTCCACCCGTCGCTTTCTGTGGAAATTCCGCGGTATAAATCCTATGCTCTACTGAAAAATTGGAGCGCGTTGCCAGAACGATGAACAAGTTTTTCTCCTTCTAAACAGTGAACTTGTCGATTATTGTAATCTCATTCTAGTGGTGCAGAACACAATTGCTAATTGCTGTAAAAAAATAAATCTACTATTAATCAACAATTAGCGTTTGCTTAATATTAATTACTAATATAAAAACTCATCTCATTAATAGATACAACCGAAGCCACTGCAAGTGCGTGGCACAATAAATACAACATAAATATGTTAACTTAATGTTCCCCTTTGTCATGCAGCAAAAATGCCCCTAGCGTGTCGATGACAAAATAATTAAGAGTATTTTTCTTTTCGGCACTTAATTCTAAGGGAAAGTAAATTTTGCGCAATTTTATTCGTTGATAAATGCCTTAGAGTGTTTTTAATGCTTCGATTTTAGTCCGCTGAAACTTTTGCATCGAGCAGTTGTCTATTGGCAGTATTGCCGTGACTCCAAAATAAAATAGATCTCGACAATTAAACTCTATTGATGATTGTCTTATTCCTGAGAACATGATGAACATGCTTCAGGAACGAACAATTCCAACTGTGCCTTTTGTGTCACCATTTCGAGTAATATTTTAGGTATTAAAAACGTATTATATTACATGATTATTACAAAACTTCAAAGTATTAATTTTCTCTCACATATTTGGGATAGTTCACTCAATAATGAGCTATTGTTTGAGTATAAAGTTTTGGATCTGTCATTTAATTTATGGTATAAATTCATCTACAGTAATCCGGAGTCCCAGTTGTGATTTTTCGACGAACAAGGCCTTCATGTCTGAATGTTTTTTACTCGTTTGATTTGACTTCCTTAGCAAATACACTTTTTCCATGGAGAGTGCCTGTTATTAAGAAACTTTTATTGATTTGAACCATGTACATTCGCACTTAACAGAATCCGAGTTATTAAATTTGATGTTATGTAGACTTCATAAAGTTGATAAACGTTTCATCGATACCAGCCAAGGAGATATTGAAGTAAATTGACTGTCTTGGCAACGGGTGCGCCCGTGGTGGCTTGCTGGCCAAAACCTGCGACCGTGACGGTATTGTCGAAGTTTTTGCTGGTGCTGGCGCCCTCTAGCGGGCACACCGTGTCATACGTCAGGCTGAACCTCAGCGGTGAATTCGACGTGCTTAGAGAGCGCACTGACAACCGTTCCATGTCTTTGAATACTCCTAGTGGGTGGAATGGGTGAAAAAAGGTTAGAAATGTAATAATATCATGACAACAGAGAGGCTCTGAACTAGATGAGGTAAAGACAAACTTTATAATTCATTTTCAAGTAAAAGCCTGGATTCCATTGGAAAATATTGTTGAGATGTCTCAGGAACTTCGTTTCAAATCGGTTCAAGTTAAATCTCGGACATGCTTCTTTGTCGATAATACCATATCATATGTTTGAAGCTACTCCAATATAAGGGAACAGATTCTGTCAAACTATTCATGCACACATGTCTGTAAATTAGTTTAATTTCGATCAATAAGCGTTTTGGCTTAGAACTACGAAACAGAGGGGATGTCTTCGATTTTTATCTTGTTTTCCTGTCATGCTTTTAGTTCAACTGAGAGCATTAAACATTGATACTTAATAATTAGACGAGTTATCTTGAATGCATCACTTACTCTGTGCTTCCTCTCTAACGGGCTGCGATCTGAAGAGCTTCTCACAGACTTTCATGTCATTGACTTCAATGTAGGATTCTTCACAAACGTTACTGTTGAAGATGGTGATGGTCTCCACGACGTTCTCTGTGTAAGGCCCTAACGTCTCCAGTATTGGTGAGCTGGTAATTGGAGGGCTAGAATAAGCGTTCGTGTATGGAGATGTCGAGGTGGGATTGGTGTCTTCGAATTTTGACGTTGATGACGTAGTTATTTTTTTCAAGTCTTCTAATGCGTCTTCAACAGTTGTATAGCTTTTGGTTGAAACCATTCCGTCTGTTGTAGTTGAGATTGTGAAGAGTGGCTTGCTAGTGGCTTTCCTCACATTCGAGGGTTTCGGCTTTTCCGTGGCCTGCTGGCTCAGCTTCATGATCAGATTGGCAAAAGGATCGTCGGTGGGTGTGTCTTCAAATATTTCCGTAAGCGCTGAAGTAGCGCTCTGTTGAGTAGGAGGAACCGACTCGCTTACTGGAGGGACTTCATCTTCAGTTTCCTTATCGTATTCATCAACTTCGTTGGCCTCTTGAGCGATTATTTGAACAGGCCTCGCGGATTCAGTCTGGAGAGCTTCGCGGATGTTGTCAGGTATGTCAGTGCCTGGGGCTGCGGACACTGTCACGCGTTTTAGTCCTGGTCTGACTTGGGTCGTGGTGTACCTGATGGTCGGCTTCTGTGCGACATTTGCAGTCGTCGTGAGAGGAGGACGCACTTCAGAAATTGGAGTCGTAATTCTTATTATTCCAGGCTTCGTAGTAAAGCGAGTGGCCACTGCACTTTGAGACAGGCGCGTTGGCACTGGCCGTGATGTTATTCGCGTAACTACTGAAGGTTTCGTGAACCTTGTTGTTTGCGGGAGCTTAGTAACTCGGATTATCTGAGGACGATTTGTTGCAACATGATCTGTTGTTGTGAATTGCGCATTTTCAGTCAATACGGAAATTGACGGAACTTCTGCTCGCGTCGTGATGCGTTGGATGATTCGGGTTGGGATTGGTTTTGAACTTAGAATATTGCTGGTGGTTGAGAGGGTCGGAACTTCATTCTGAGTTGTTTCTGCTTCAGTTTCAGTTTGGACTTTGTTCTTCTTGCTGGGCAGAGAACTGAAAGCGTTAGGTGGCGTTGAAGCGGGAGCTTTTGTCTGCGTTGTTGCTACGGGTGTATTTTTGGAAACCAACCTTGGTGGAGGAGTTTCAGATTCCTTCTCTGGGACTAACCTTTCTTTGCTATCGCTAACTATATCGAAAACACTTTCGATTACTTTATCAAGCTCTGAAATGTTATTAATTTTAATTTTTGTGTAGTTCTGAGTGACCGGTCCCGTTTCAATCACAGTTATGATTTTTTCGTTCGAATTTTTATTTTCACTGGAATTAATATGCATTTCAGTGACAGTACCCGATGGGTGTTTAAATATCAGGTGCGGCTTACCAAGAGATATATCTTCAGGTTCCACTTTACCGGGTGATATTTTGATGTCATGCGGTAGGATAATTTTGCTTGCTGTTGAGAGTACAGTCGGCGATGGAGTAAGTCTAACTTTTTCATTCCTGAGGAAGACCCACTGGACTCCATTATGTTTCAGGGTATATTCATCGTCTGGGTCTATAGACGACAGCGTTGTGAGGTCATCTATGCTAATCTCGGTCGGTGGGTCTTTTTTTGCAGTGCTTTCTTGACCACTGAAAACCGTCGTTGGTTTTTCGAAGCGAGAGACAACTTGATCATCAGGTACATAGGTCATGGGGTCGAACATTACTACTGATGCCACCGGGAACTCGGGCTTCAGCAGATTCACCGGAGCCGAAGTAGCGGGTTCATAGTACAGCGGTGTTGGATACCTGGGATCTGCTTCTTGCTCTTCTATCTGACTCTTGATGTTATTTATCATACCTAAATGGAAGTATTTATCTTGGGAGGAAGATGACTGTTTTTCAGGCTTCTTGGAGCCCGTTGAATATAGAGGGGCGCCATCGGGCAAGACCATTATTTCCTGACGATTGTGTTCCACGGCGTAGTTGTCAGTCGCCGCTGGTTCGTCGGAAACATCATCCAAATCATTGTTGATGAAGTTCTTGCCATCATCTTCATCATAGTAGTAATAGTAATAAGCATCTTCAGGAAGACCAGCTCTTTGGGTGAAATCTTCTTTCATCTGATCAAGTTCATTCTTGCTCTTCAATAGACTCTCCAGTCCAGTAGTCGTAGTTCCTTGAAGCTGACCTATGACCTGGTTAATCTGCCGATAAGCTGGACCACGGGAAACTAATGGTTGCCCTCTAGGCATGGATCGGGAAGATGCTTGCATTTGCATTCGATGGCTTGGAGTCCTGGTCCTGTACTGCTCGTGTTCCTCGTTGTTGTCGAACGCCATAACGATAGGCAGTTTAGCTGAACGTGATCTTCGTTTCGAGCCCTGAATGCGGGATCTCTTCACCTTGTTCCGGCGGGTGTGAATCTCGTTCTCGGACTGTCTCAAGTCGATGTCTTCGGTCCGACGTTCGCAGCCAGCATTCCTGACAGAAAAAGATTTCATATTTTATTTTGAGATTTACTGGCGAATGAAACATGGGATGAATAAAAAATATTGCAATAACGGAACAATACAGCAAACATTTGTCTCGCCTAATAATCAGTACATTTTCTTTGTTGCATGATTTGAAGTACGTTGGATTGTTGCATGACTCACAGTTCTGTTCGATCCAGTTTTGGGAAGCAGACGTCATAGTCGAGGTCTCCTCTGAAAAGGTAACTTCCAGAGTTGAAGTTCAAAGATTTGACAGTTGCTGCTCGGTCTGTGTAGAACTGAAGACAACCACTCGGCACTGAAACAAGATCACCGAGTTAGCACTTATGGTCCATTCCAGTCTTCCTTCATTCCAGAGCTGCATCGATATTAACGAAAGATGAATATTTAATTGAGCTGGATGTCGAGTGCTATTTATGCGTTAAATAACGACAACGTCAACGTTCCAACTAGGACAACATATCGGAATCAAACAATAAATCTCAGTTAAGGTGAAGTTATTAAAGCTGACCTTCATCTCCTGGTGCCACATACGACACGAGCACATGCCATTTCCTTCGTAGTTGCGTGGACATCGCGATGCGCAGCTTTAGATCTTGATACGCAAATTCCATGTACACTGAAAAATTAATGTCAATGTATTTCAATATTACAATATAAATATCATTAAGTCTAAATAACACGAAAACTTTGCCGTTATATATAAAAAATAAAATGCGTGCTTCGGAAATTTATTTTTCTTTAAAAAAGAGACCTTGGAAAATTTGACATGAAAAGCACCGTGAAGCGTCAGTACTAAAGCTCGCTCTTTCCACAGGCACCAAAAACGTTATAAACTGTAAGGACAAGGCCCTGTCTGCAGTTACAAAGTACAAGTAATTGCTCACCTTGCTGGCTGGCATATATCCTCGTTGGTGGCGGGACACAACAAACCCAATGCGTCCTGAACATAACACCTCACCGTGCTGACCAGCATCACCTCTTTATAAGGAGATAAACATACCAAGCACCAGCTCTTCCTTAATACGCCGGCTCACCGTACTGCTGACATCACCTCATCCGGTAAAGGGAAAATTACAAATATCTGCCCGTTCCAATATACTGCCTCACCGTGCTGTTTGGCATCGCCTTTTTATAGGAAAGGAAAGATAATAAACTCCAGCTCGTCCCCAACACAGCGTCTCACCGACAGCACCACCCTCCTCCCCACGTAGAGAGGAACATGACGTCCTCACAAAGACGTACCGTGCTGGCCAGCATCACCCTCCTCCTCACGTAGAGAGGAACATGACGCCCCCTCACAAATACCCACCGTGTTGGCCAGAGTTGTCCCCACACAGAGGAGGAATGAGTTCGACTTCCCCGTTTCCCCGTACGACGGTGAGCGCGTCACGCACACACTCGCCCTGGACGGCGTCACCCAGCTCGATGACAGCGAAATCCAGACGAACTTGCTTGATCTGCGTAAACAGTGAAAAATTTATAAATTTCGAAACCTCTAGGCCTAATTCTCATAGTTTCAATTCTCATGTTCTGTACCTCGACTTATGAATGCGTCTACTTGCGAATTTTTCTAGATTTTTTTTGCCTCCACATATGAACATATATTTAATTTAATTGTAGTAATACATATTTAATTCTAATATTTTTTGCATAATACGAAAATTTCCTCTTACGAATCCAGTCACGGAACGAATTAAGTTCGTAAGTCGAGGTACCACTGTATATGAAATTACTATATCATGTAATTCTAAAATTGCGTAATTCCTGCAGAACATAAGCGACATGAGTTATTGATTGATGTGCAACCGATTTCTATCGCGCCCTAATTACGGCTAAATATTTTTTAATGTTATTGAGCTAACACCAACGATGGAAACTTCAGTGGTCAGAGCGAAGTAGCCAAGCAAATTGCAACTTTAAGCATCGACGTTTTGATCATATAAATGGATGAAACTGAGCAAACAAGCCGGTTTCAGTTAAATCCAATAATAAACAATAATATACATGAAATTGCCACGATTTGAACTCGTCACTGGAAGCTAAGAACTCTTTACCCTGGGGTCTAGCCTGCGGATGGTGAGCTCGCAGTTGTTAGGGTCACGAGTGTAGTCCGGGAAGTCTTTGTTGACAAACCAAGTCCGATTTCGTGTCACCGTACCGCCACACACCGTTGGGACTGTCCAAGCATAACGTGTTATCAAAGTTCATTGGATTTAATTTCAATCTAATTTTGTAGGTTATAATTGTTCAATAATCTAACTCACCAGCACTAATCATTGACATTACATAAAATCAAACTAAAGAAATTAGAAAAGAAATCAAACTACGCCTAATGGCCTAATGAAACAGACATTAGGAAGCAAGATTTATCAGGGCAACCAGCGCTCACAAATGCAGCAGACGCCGCCCTCCGAGCACTCGCCGGACGCCACACCCCCGGAGGCATCGCAGGCGGAGGCCTCGTAGCAGGTGCCTGTGTTGAGTGCCCCGTTGGTGGCACGGCACTCATCTTGCGGTGCCACGTCGCCCTCGTCCTCAAACCAGCTCATCATACCTGCTGGGGGCACGTGGGGGTTAACTTTTTGTCTACAGATACATTTACCGTCGTCATTTCTACGGATACATTTACCATCGTAATGCCTGAGGATACATTTACCGTCGTCATGTCTACGGATACATTTACCGTCGTTATGTCTTCGGATACATTTACCGTCGTCATGTCTTCGGATACATTTACCGTCGTCATGTCTGCGGATACATTTACTGTCGTCATGTCTACGGATACATTTACCGTCGTCATGTCTACGGATACATTTACCGTCGTCATGTCTACGGATACATTTACCGTCGACAATGCTATTCGTAACTAATGGCTTGGGAACGAGACATGGTTGAATTAATACAATTAATTCAACCATGGGAACGAGAGGTCTCGTCAGTACACAAAAAGTTAAACAACCCAGTAAGATACAATGGAAGCAAAGAATTGATGACATCGATAGGACCTAAGAATTGATAGCATCGATGGGACCAAAGAATTCAATGAGAATAATGAGACCAAAGAATTCAATGGGAATGATGAGATCAAAGATTTACGGGAATGATATGATCAAAGAATCGATGGAATCGTTTGAACCACATTACTGATGGAACGATGGGAACAATGAATTGATAGGACCAAGAATAGATGTTGGGAAAGGCTATCCATGGTTGAATTAATACTATATTAATTCAACCATGCGGCTATCCTCCCTCAGTTGACTAAAATAGCTTAGGCAGGATCATTGCAGTCTATGATAAGGATACTAAAAAAATTCAGCACTAATGATGAGACGAATCGAAGATGAGAAGCGCATTTATCCCGATTACTGCGTAAGAAGTTTTTGCAAATTAATATTATACCACGAAAAGAAGAATATCTAGATTAAAGATTGATGTACCAGTTTTTAAAACATGCGTACAGAAACAATAATTAGTAACGAAAATTATCAAAGATAATCTTTTATGTAGGAAAATTAAATTCCGAAAATTATTTTCATGCGGTTTAGGATTAAGGCTTGAATTACGTGTCCATGTCGATTGTTTGAAAAACGAAAGTCACTTAATCAATTTCAAGGGACAAAGGGAGATTTAGCATGCAGAAATATAAAAACAATATTAGTGCAAAGTTGGATTCAGCTGCACTGAACTGGACGCCTAATGACAAGAAATAACGTAAGAAGTCAGTTTCTTGCGCGGTTTAGAGCTTCGCTCTCTAACTGGTTCAAGAAGCCACGTGCTATATTTTCTATAATACGCACGCCTCAACATCGGCCAAAAGTGGACTAATTACTACCTGTGAAAATAATAGAAATCGTAGTGTAGAACACAATCCTATAGAAGTATAGTGTAGAATAGTATCCTAGACGTAGCGAAGAGCCTCAACGATCACGTGTACCTCAGAAAAAGTTTCATGCACAAGAAATAATAATCTTATGAATTAATTGCTTTGTTATTTCTTCCAGGAGTTTTGTTATGTTGGCGCAAATCTCGTTGTTTTTAACTTTACAGAGCCAGTAATGGAAAATAACAGTTGTGTTATTTCTAAATGAAAAGGAGACCCGACAGATTATCGTTGTCAAACTTAACTACATGAAACTTAACTGCATAAAACTTAACTACATGAAACTTAACTCTCAATGGTGTTATTCATCTCGCCGCGGGTGTTACGGTGCAATATTGTGTGGAGTGATGTTCTCTGGGTCAACAAATCGTTTATATCGGGTAAAAATGAAATAAGCTTATTAAACTTATTTCTTCAAACAAGTCTCGAAAAATATACACTGCAAAATTAACTGCATCGAGACCAGATTAAATGAGACGTATTTCCAATAGAAAGTAATTTCACCCCTAATAAATTGTTGATACAACTGCTGGATTAACCGACAGGAATGGATTGAGCGACAGGAATGTATCTATGAAGGAATTTCTTGGCGCTTCTATGCCCCATGCGCAGATATTCCTGCCGTGCATGCAGCTTCCGTTACGCGACCTCGATCATCTGACGCGGCGATACCAGGACTGCGATTCTGATGACGGTTGGGGCATTGCTTGCGATAACTTGCGATACCAGGCATGCTAATGCGATAAGGCAGATACTGGACGTGCGATGCCATGGTATGCTAATGCGATATGGCAGATACTGCACGTGCGATACCAGGCATGCTAATGCGATATGGCAGATACTGCACGTGCGATACCAGGCATGCTAATGCGATATGGCAGATACTGCAGTGAGATGCCATGGCATGCAAATGCTATATGGCGACATCGTACCTGCGATACCAAGCTAGTAAATGCGATAAGATTATACTGCAGTATCGCCATATCGCGATACCTAGCATGTATAAATGCGATGTATGGCGAGACTGCATGTAAGGGCTGATGGCGGCCACTTGACCATTGGTCTATGGAAGAAAAATATTCGCTTGTCACAAAATCTTATGTTTGGGGAAAATTTATCGTTCATGGAGATATTTAATTCGAATATAGACATTTTTTAATAACTATGAAATATGAAGTTATTAACAATTGTGTCTGTCGTTTATGGAAAAAGTTTAATTATATATAAATTGATAATGAATGAAGGGTGTTGACTGATTGCTTTAGTGGTGCTTTTTATACCGGTGATTCTGATAAGGCGTTTCATTTAAAAATGATTTCAACAGAGAAAGAAACATCTCAACGTAGCACCAATCTTCTTCGCGTGCTTGTGAGAATATCGATAGCTGCATGCGATTCACATTATTCATGGCTGTCCCGATAATTTCGTGCGAGTCGAAGCAACTTTTTGCACTGAAACCTTCTAAAGACTTCGTCCCAAATGCGAGGAAAGTTTGCAGTGGTGGATGTGCCGAGCGCAGTGGTTGCGAGGCATCATTAATACCGAGAAGTTTAGTCCTGCACCAAAAGTAGGTTAGTGAAGTCAAGCAGCCTAAAAAAATAAAGAAAAAAGTGGCCTACGCAAGAATCTGCACAGCCTCGCCTTGCACAGCCGGGCGTCCATGGTGTACGTGTGTACTGTGATCAGGATGAAAGTTACACCGGGGAGAGCGAAGTTGAGAAAGAAAACTAGAAAAATGTAAAAAAAACTCAACTTTTGCCTGGATCAACAACTAGAAGGTGCTCGGAGGTTAAAACTGGAAGAATGACTTAGGTCCAACTCGTTAAAGGTCTAATTAGTGAAGTAGAAATGGTTCTCTTACTTTTTTACTCTTCACCCAAATGTAAATACTTTCGCCTAGACTAAAAATAATTGTCAACCTTTTAAAAATACAATTCTTTTATGGACAACACTTATTCTCAACGCTGTTCCTTAATTGAATTTTAGCTTTTCTTCAACCTATGAAGAATCCAGCTGAGAATTTTAATCAGCTTCCCGGAGCCAGGAATAACTGCCACTTTTCAGAACGACTCCTCACCACAGTATCCTTAGGTCAAGCACTACTGTGACATGGAAACAACTGTCGTGTCCTAAACTGGTTAACTGTTTAGGACAGAGTCCTGCAGCTCCCTCAATTTCCGGAGAAAGTCCTGGACATCATCATAGATTTCACTGATATACATGCAAGCGTTCATACCTGCGCTATATTCTTGATACCCACTTTTACCTATGCCCTTTACTTTCTAAGAGTGTATTTACATAGTATTTCCAAGCTCGTTAAACATTTTGTAGACAATATTTCACTGTACAGACTTTCAATCCGTAAACAACTTGATAACCTAAAAATAATCAACTTATATTTGGAATATTAAATACAATGAAAGTGTCATATGTTCTAAGAATCAGCTATACAAAACTATACAACTGACCAGTATTCCGTCAGCCGTAGTTACAACCCAATATTTTTATGGATTTTATAATAGAATGACAATCCTAACACGATTAGGAATGGTTCGTTGATAACAATAATTATAGAGTCAGTTCCTCAAAGTATTAACATTTAGATCTGTCATTCGACACTAGACAATAATTTTGAGACAGTTTTAACTACACATTCTAACGGAATGATTGTTGAGCGCTGAGGTACGAAGAGAAGCAAAATAAATTTGTCTACACTGCTGAAAACGAGCAAGAGAGTCTCGTTTGGGTTGCAATTCAGAAGATAGAGAATCCGAAAACCTCTTGCCTACAAAGAAGACTAGCTAAAGCAAGAAAACGTTTTCCCCATAGTATAATACGGGGGAGAAACTTTTACAAAAACACGCTTCGAAAACTGGAAAATTGCTTTGTCTGAAGACCAATCCATGCCGTTCTTGGCATGCTGGATCTCTGTTACGAAATTTAATTTCAGGGAAGCACACGTGACCCAGATAAGACTGGTACAAAACCTCGTTAGAAACTAGTGCAGAAAACGTACTATTCTTTGAAACATTAAAACCTTAAGCTTTAATGCCATTTGCCATGAATATATCATATAAATCTAAAACAATTTCTGTGCAATTTATTCTGGTCAATGTTATTGTCAACATCAGACATCAGCTACGTGACACAATCTTAATTAATATGAAGGCTTCGGTGCCCAAAGAAAATGCCGGGCGTGTACAGCTAACATCGATATCTCAAAAAATTCATGCAATACATTTTTACATGAAGATTATAATATTATATTCATATTATATTATAGAGAATAACTCGGACCTAAGATCATGAACCCATTTCAATGACTATTACACTCAAGTCTTATCTAAGTATGATTATGACCGCTAACGGAAGATAAATTAAATAATTAATTGAAAGCAATATATGCATATGTTATGTACAAAGAGAATACTGACCTCTGAATATGCGAGTAGCCTCCTCCAGCAACTCCATCACTGTACACAAACAACAACAGAAGCACCGAGGTTAGTAACAGCAAAACAAGAACAACTGTTGCATTTAAAACCGTACGTCTTGGTGTGGTCGCGGAATTAGTATGTTTATTTGAATTGATGAGTGATCATGATGGTCATAAAATTAGTATCTTTATTTGAATTGATGAGTGATCATGATGGTCATAAAATTTGTATGTTTATTTGAATTGATGAGTGATCATGATGGTCATAAAATTAGTATGTTTATTTTAATTGATGAGTGGTTATGATGGTCATAAAAGTTTTAAAATCTGTTGAGAATAATTCATGTTTCTAACCATGTCTAAACACACATGTTACTTAAAATGATTTTCAACCATTCCGTGTAGGTGTACCAGTGTTTCATATGCAATATATTTTACAAATGATAAAATAGAACACCATATAAATCGACATTTAATTTGTTATCCTTAATTGGGAGAATGTTTGCGTGCACACGAAAGGTTCATTCAAATATTGGCAAAATATGGAAACGGGTTTTGCAGTATATTAGTATAAGTAGTTCATTATCACGTGTATATTATCTACCCTTTTATAAAGTTAGGATAAACAATATTTATCAACTCTAGTAAATTTCCGAGTAACACGTCATTTTATAATTCATAATAAATAAATTTATGAGCAGTATGACAAAATTTTCACGGTTACAGCATTAAACGTGAGGCAGATATTTACAATAACTGTAGAGTCAAAATCAATCGCATTCAATGAATAAATTGAGTTAAATGTTGTAACATGAAATTGAAGGAAACAAATTAAAATAATTGCAAATGAGAGAGGATAAAAAATGTGACCTTCTTGCATTTTTGAGAAGCGAATAAAGTTTGCTAAAAAATATTTGTTGTCGTTTCAGACTTGGTAATGAAGAAGACCCACGGAAACGTCCAGATGTTGTCGAAAAATGTTGTGTGGATTGAAGATTGTGCGTGTTTCTTTCGGCATACGGAATGTACTTTACCTGTAGACTTCACAGCATTCAAGTTTACAACTTGATACGGAAATATCTTTTCATAAATAAATCAAATTTAGCTCCAGTAGCAAGGTAAGGTAAATACTCGTACAACACAAATTGCAGCCATTTGTAAGAGCGCTAAAACGAATGAAAAGATTCAGCTTTCTAGAGGGAGCTTAATTAGAAATTTCTGCCCGACGTGACGGTCTTTGCTGGAGTATAGACAAAAACTTTTACGTGCAATAGAAGTCTTGTTTTTGCGTCTAAACCTACTGCCCGCGCAGGGCTTGATCGCGCGTTGCGTGCTGCGGCAGGCGTAGACGAGTGAAAATTTTGTTGAGTCAACAATACGAGACTACCAGCTGCATAAAAATCATTACTGCTTTTAAGCATTACTTCGCCAAATTCCGCCAATCAGCCGAAAATAATAACTGTTAAATGAAATATGTCCTCGCGTAAACATAGCATTGCATCACTAAAGTAGATCACTAAAGAAGTAGAAAGTAGCAGGGTTCTTTAGTTCGGAAAACTTCAGAAAGAAATGCAAGAAAAAGAGCCCCTAGTTTGGACCAACACAGAGCGGCAAAAAGCCTGAGATCAAACTCTTAGCGGTATAAATAATAACCGTTGAATGTCCACATTAGCCGCAAACAGTCTATTACTACGAAATTGATGGCTTCCAGATGCCAAAAGTGGCTGGGATAAAGGATCGAAGATCGTGACCCGGTTTCTAGCCGCACGCACGCAGGTGACTGAGGAAGTGGGGTAATGATTACCATGACTAGCAGCTTCAACCTGCCTATGAAGATGATCCCTCCTAGGTGCTTAGAAGGTGTTAGTTTAACCCATTTACTCCATGTTAATAGACTCTAATATTATAATTTATTCAATCTCATCGAAGCCGTAGATGCGTTGGAATAACCTATTGACCATTGAAAGACGCCACATGCTCGTCGTATAATGTGAGCATTAAAAATTAGTTCATCGTCAGTTTTCAGTTTAGCTTCAGTCAAAGCGCGATGGCAGATTTGCAACGATATTGTATAACTGAATGTTTTTATACAGAACAACAAATAATGCCAGACCTGTTCAGCGACGGTATTTAGTGGAGAATTCGATTTCAGTAATATACAGGAACTTAAAAGTGCACCGATAATGAAAACTTAAATATATAAAGCATGGCTGAAATTTGTTCGCCAATCGGTTTTGAATTTTTCGTATCTCTCTTGTTTCAAAGTTGACAGGAAGTGGAATGGTTATGCATTGTGCTGCCGATACTTGAGACAAGACAAACTTTCCGCTATATCAAGAAACCTCAAGTTTTGCTCTGAATATTGGCACAAGGGATTGTTCAGTTTCAAAGCAAGTAAATAAAAGTTATTTTAGTTTATTGGGTTCAAAAAGTTTTGAAGGTTCTTCTAAGAGACCTCAATCTGCTATTGTTTAACTGTTTGATTTAATTTTCATCTCATTTTGTCCTCCAACGAGGGATTTTTCTATTACAATTTAACCAGATGAAAGAATCAAATAACAGCCACATTTGCGACTTTCTTAACGTGATCACATGCTTTCACGACGCCGCAGTCCCGATTCTGCAGCTGTGATCTACGACAGACTTCCCTTCCGTGAGTTTAATGCCGGGTTTGCATTGGCAGACGAAGCGTTTCTCGGGCTCTTCTCACCCTACATGACTCGCTTCCTTTCCTCTTAGCCCATCACTACGTGCCACGTGCTGTTAGAAGTGTGTTATATATCGATTATAAGATTTGTAGCAGACAAACAAACAAACAAACAACAAGAAGTGAAGTTAAAGAGAAGTGTTGTAAAAATTAAGATGCAATTTTGTACACTGAATGTAGAACATTCGGCAATAAATATCCCTTCGTAAACTGCGACTGACCCTCGTCCTCTCACGTTACAGGCAGCTCAGTATTGTTGCCCTCACAGCAACGATTCAAACTCCAAAAATATTTGGGCACACAGTTTGATTGTTATCTCACTGCTGTATATGAAAAAATCTTATGATATTTTCGTGGAGACTTGTAAATTGGCGTGAATTCAATGGAAATGTAGCGCTCATTAAAGTGGCACCTCGTGGGTATGGTCAGTTTTGTCAAAGTCAACTAGTGGAAACACCGCCTTGCCCCGCAGCTACAAGATCGACCACCAGCAGTCAAGGCAGACCGTCCCGCCTCAGGCGCCACCCTGAAGCTCGCGTCACCGTTACGTGGATGTGTGCGCTGCCGTGCCTAACATGTCATCCTTTGTAGGTCAGCACGCTAACATATCTAATTAGGAATGGATTACATCAAATTAATTATAAATTAAACCAATCACGCAATTTAATAATAATTGAAAAATTCTATGAATCATAAATATTTGACCAGCGAATTTAACTATAAAAAATTATATTGTATGCTTTTTTCTCAGTGAAATTATTTTCTTCAACACATCTGCTCACGAATTCACCATTATTGCTTACGATTAAGTTAAACTAACAAAGATATCCTCAAACTTCATGGATAAGTGAATAAAAAAATACCTTTATCGCATAGAAAAAAAAATGTTGCTTAGTCTCTTCCAGCGGTAAAAAAATCCGCGCACTAGTATGTTCATTCTTTAAAAATTCTTGACGAAATTCGAAACACCATTTACAGTTGGACTCGATCGGAGCCATAACCATTTCCTATCGCGACTCGATGGCAGTTGAGCCAGTACCTATTATAGTCATATCGGCCACTGAGAACTGTACATTTAACGACTGCTCGGCAGACTGTCATGGTCGCTCTAAAATAATCGAAGAGTTTATAATACCTCGCAGGCGATCTGTCGTTACATATCGACGATAGATATACGTCACTTCGAAATCGAAGTGACGTATATCTACTGAAGTTTAAATCTTCGTATTTCATTGTTGGTTCTCATATATTGAACCGTGCAATAATTTCTGGAAGTTTAAATCTTTGTATTTCATTGTTTCGTCATTGGTTCTCATATATTGAACCGTGCAATCATTTCTGCCGAACGAGTTGCTCTAACTCGCAGTCTTCCAAATAAGCGTATCCGTACTGATGTCCCACGCTCGACCGCCCCTGCAGTCGAACAGCACACGGTTTAGCATTTACGCCCCGTACACGGCAGTGAAAAATTACGGACGATTCAGTATAGCTGCTTAAGGTCACGGTTCTCACCTTTAGTGATCTAGCCTTTTGTATTACTTAAAATATTTGTGAGCGTTGTGGTTCTCACCTATAGTGATCTAGCCTTTTGTATTACTTAAAATATTTGTGAGCGTTGTGGTTCTCACTTTTAGTGATCTAGCCTTTGGCATTTCTTAAAATATTTGTGAGCGTTGTGGTGCCATTTATATATTAGGGAGGGGAGTATTTCAATAGAAAATGAGGATGCAAATTCGGTATGGTAAAAACTAAGTGAGAGGAATGGATATTTAATTGCTCTGATTAGCATCTGTATTCCTAGTTCTAAACTTATTGAGAAATATGAACATGCATAATTTTGTGGGCATTCATACAAAATAACTCAGTTTAACAATGATTGACCCAGCGAAACATATATCCCTGCATCATCTATTATTGTGAATAGTAAATAATTCAAGCAATTTTGTGGGTTTTTAAATGGTCCGAAATCCGAATCCCTGTATCAGAACTTAGACAAAACTGAAATCTATCAAAGTGAGGTTTTCGTCGATGAGAAAAAATCATTCCGCGGGGACGGCGGAGACTTTAACGCCTAGCAGGTGAAGTGTAACGCAGCATTGTTTTAACATAGGCAGAACTTGTTTACTACCTACACTAACATCAAGCTTCAACATCAGTGACTAAAAATAAATTTCTGCTCACTTATTGCCTAAGTCTGTAATTCCTATATTTGATGTAGTTCAACATTTACTGTATGAAGAAGAATGATTTCGAATTTTTTTCGGTATTCAGAACGTACAATGGGCGTCATTGAAGCATCAGTGCAAACACTCATATTTTTCTGTAGGGTGATTGTATTGCACATAAAATATTATAATTCAGTCATAAATTTGTCTAAAGTTGAATAGAAGCAAGGCTGCAATTTGACTTAGAATCAATTAAATCTTTCGGCGTCGTCTTTGTCATCTTGCGGACATAGATCTTATACTGAGAAATTAGTAAAAATTGAAACCTTTTGAATATAAGCTTGTTTTCGGGAACAGTTCCAGAATCTTTCGAAAAGGTACGCAGAGGAAAATACAATATTTCGCTCAAATATGTATAGGGTTTGAGCGTTTTTAAGTTTCCAGCAGGACTGCATGAGCCCGTTAGTGCAGAGTAATAAGGTAACCTCGTTTCAACCAGCCATCTGCTACGCTAAGTTATGCTCGTCCCTCAAAATTCGCACCGACCGATGGCTTTCAGGATGAGAATCAGAGCAAATTTCTGCCATATGCAGAGTAATTATTGGTTAAATTTCAATATTCTTCGGTATAAAATTGTGAAATTTGCTGCGGCTGATTGAGGATCGAGAGCGTACATGGAATCTCTGCTTTACGTAAAAAAAATAATATAAAAGTTTTGCTTGGAGTGCACGCGAGACTGCAGGTGAAAAATATAAGCCTTGTCATGCTGAACGAAAATGTAATGCGCCGAGAAATTGCTTGAAAAATGAGCCCGCAGAGAATAAACTAAGAAATAAGTGTATCGAAATTTGATGTTCGATTTGGTTCAAAATTTGGTACAAATTTTCATATTTTGGTTCAAAATTTTAAATTTTGATTCAAATTTTGGTGGGAAATTTGACATTTAAAATGAGGAAAGTGTTTGTCAGAATTTTGATATTCTTTCACTCACAAATACATATCGGTATTTAAAAAAACGGCATCACATGCCGGCAAATACCGATGAAAACATATCAGAACTGAACTCCGCTGAACTCATGCCACAGATTCCAAGACAAGGTCACCGATGGCACCATCTTCATACTGTAAACCTGTAACGGTAGCACACATGACGCAGCGTCCGCAGTTTGCAAATACCTGCTGCTGGTGCTGGACCTCGGAAATGAGACCTCCTTATGTATCTAGAATTAAATCTCTAAGTATGGAAATTTCCCAGAAACTTGGTTCATAAACTATTTTTTAAATGACTCTTTTCCAGAATTGATTCGAGAAGGCTTCATCCCATATTTGGCATATTCGCTTTAGACTAAGTGGCATCTTAGTGATCTTAAAAAACTAGCAATGTGTTATTTTAGTTATTTTACATTTTCGGCAATTTTAAAGTCCTCTATTCTTAACCGATTTGTGCCGCATAATAAGAATTTAAATTGAAACATAAAATCAATCATTTTTGGCGATTTAGTACAGCGTAGCAGTCGATTGTACAGAAAAATGAAAATTATTCATCGTCAGCGAGGTAGAAAGTTGCGATCGTCACAAAAATTCTACAATCAAATGGTATGCATCAGCAGCAGAGGACAGATCAGGCCTTGAGTGGCCAGGGCGTATAGGATGACGAACAAACGGAACCGGTACATAACATCTCATATAGATCAACGACATAGTATAAAAGATGAACAGAAAAAAACTAATAAAACAGAAAAAATTGCGAAATCTTTTGCTCGAGAGATAAGAAAGAGATATGCAAGGAAACCTACACACACGGCAATTAAACCCCACGACTAAAGCCTGTCGGAGTGACACCAAATTTTAAACTAACGTGAAGCTGTGCGAGTGATCCATAAAATTTTGTCGTTTTTGCGGGCTTCTCTCGTGCAAAATAAAAGGCCTGCTATGGCAGCTCCTAACATCTAGAAAAATCTTGCGTTACTTCAACTCGAAGAGAAATTTATGAGATAAAAACGACTGGCAAGTTTTTAAAGCAATGCACGTTTGAAAAAAATTCTTGATTTTGCTTTCGCGTGACTTGTCAGTTTACAAACATCTTTTTTCTCTCTCACACAAAGCTCCTTTTGAGAGAGTATAAAATATTCCCCGTATGCACTTTCACGAAATCGTGTGCCCAACGGCGCATTTTCGTGTTTATTTCAATTTTCTTTTTATTAGGATGACACTTTCACGACGTCCCTTATGGATTGCGGACAATGTAGGGCAAGAAATCAACTTAGAATATTCATCACTTGAGTCAATGTTGACATGACTAAACCGGTTCATTCGATGTCCGGTTAATTGAGGACGTCATGGCTGTCAGTTTATATGTTGATATGGATTTATTTTTTATCTTGCCCTACAGAGATAGAAACACATATTACGGAAAATTATTCAATAACATTAACTCCCATGTAATAATTGAAGGTTGTTTTGAACCTTGATTGCATTAGGCACCATGCATTCGTATTGAATCATATAGCAACGATACTTTGAAGTTATGTTCGTTTCTTGCTAAAGCAGTTGACGGAACTCATCCTGACAGAAGGGCAGTTTGCTATAGCTATAAACTCATTTTTCTTCTCGGATGAAAGTTAAAGCACTGTAAGTAAACCTGCTATCCTAAATGCTATCCTAAGTATCCTAAAATAAATAAAAATCAGTTAATTCCTAAGCCAAATAGCCACACAATATACAGTTCGAAATATTAAAATTGATTATGTTTCCGTTGGAAAACGTACGTCATCAAACATTTGTTTCGCAAATCATGAATAGTTACTCAATTATTTCTTCCTGATCAGCAATCTAAGTTTATTAAAATTTCGTGAAGCTGCCACTGCTTCTTGATGGATGAAGATGCCAGGCGAGCTCAAGGGCGGCACAACAGCTGGCAAAGTTGCGGCCGAAGAAAGTCCCGCTCGTCGAAGGGCCGTGAAAGCCATGCTGGCTTCCCTACGGCTTTGCAAAGTCACCGAGCGCTCCTTAAAATAACAACTGCATGGGAAAGATGGCTCCGCTAGTTTTTAGTTAGTTAAATTATAGGAAAAGGTAGTTACAGATGCTCGCAAATTTTAATTTGTTACTTCCTAACAAAGTTTACTGTTTAAATGTAGCCTGAGTAATGTTTACTGTTTAAATGTAACCTACTGAGTAATCATATTGGTAATACCTCAAGAAAAGCACAGGAGTTTATTTACAAACAAAGTTAAATGTTGAACGTGTCACCCATTGTTGATTGTGCAATGCTAAATTCGTGTCACCGTTGAAATAAACAGTACAAACGGCAACCAAGTTAAAGCGGTCAGTTTCAAATGCATGTTTAAACATGCAGCGAATAAATCATTTTGTGTGTGATAGTTTAGTGTACCAACCCCTGGTATATGAAAAAGAGAACATAATTTAAAACCAAGCTATCCCTGTAATCTTAAATGTAATTTTATGTGAGTTTTGCGTTCAGAATTTGTGTCCTTTGTATTCCATACTCACCGAAATTTCGCCCGTCCCTCATAAAATTTCTTGCGCTGTCTTCCTCGTATAGCATTCTACCCCTGCCTCCTCTCCGAAGAAATTCGTCATCTTCGTCGTCGTCATTTTGTGATAACTCGTACGACTCCTGCGCGTCGTCTGCACCAGTCAGGACTCTGGCTCGCCGGAAGAAGGCTAACCGATCCGCATCCAAGTAAGGTTCGTACGACTGTTCTTGCTGACTGTACTGCGCGAACGTTGATCCATAAAAAATTGCAAGACTAAATATAAACAAAAGTTTTGTACCACTCATGTTTAAATAATTATAATATGATATCTTTGTTTGCAGTCTTTCTCCAGTACTATAGCAATCGAGTTTCAAGCAGAGACATGCAAAACAAAACTTAATGTTTTGGATATTCTGGAAGAGACTGAAAATCAATGGGCTGATCTTTAAATTGACCTTAATGGAAATCTTTTAATGTAGTAAATACAATGGCTTGATGCCAATGCTTGATTAAAATTCTAAATCTCTGATTTTTATTATTGATACGAATTAAATTCTTTGGAGAACATTTCACCTCACTGCCAATAGCGCTAATGTTTTAGCCCTTTTTGTCGGCACACACCAGTTTCTTAGAGGTAGAGATTAGAGGATTACGTAATTTTTTTTCTGACTACAGAATTATCAGGAAACATAATTATTTTGTTACTTATTTATTGCATCTTGAGATATGATATACCAAAAAAGCACTCTTCAACTTTGCTAATTGACTTTTCACACTTGAAAAGATAAAACTCGAAAAATCATACCAACGAATAAGTGTTCATTCATCACTTTTTAGGGGTGAAAAGTTTCTTCTATGCATCACTCATAAATAACTGGTCACTTTTGATTCGCTGCAAATCCCCTGACACACTGGAGGAGCGCTAATACACTACACCCTTACTCGACCGCTGGCAGCGGCACAATGAACTGCTCTCACCACTGAATTCCGGTTTGTATTTGTAATCGCCCTAGTCCTGAAATTCTGTGAATAATAGCACGTAAGCTCAGGGAAAGTGAACTACAGTTTTTTTACACAATTTATCATGTCTCTACTCTACCCATGGGTGAACGTTCGCAATGAAATGTAGTAATTATCGGTGAAAAATATATTTTCATTTTGGTTTAGGCGCTAGAGAGTTGATTTACCACCAGACCAGTCATAGAGAAAATGAACCTCAACTATTGAATTAATAGCTATGCCGTATGGAATTTTGAATGTATGGATCTATGGCGGCATAAAACCATACTTATTTGTAAAGTTGAGGTTGAAGCTTACTATAAATTGTCACCAATAACTGCCAATGGCCTCTCTATGAATTACTAAACTATATTTTTAACATAATCATAATTAATGACAAACATTAACAAAGTGATGACGGCTGAACATGGTCAACTCATGGTAGACGGCATGAAGATGGCGGCATGAAATGATGGCTGAAGATTGTTATGGTTCATCTTAAATATTAGGCATGTTAGCTAGGTAAATCACGTTTCTCTGATATATATCAGCATCAGCATCTTCGCTGCTTCTCCTATCGGAGTTTTTTGTCAAATATTTGTAAGGAAAACACTCATCCGCAACCTACTCCTGTCTGGTGGCGAACGTCTACCGTGGCACGTCCGAAGTAGCCTTAATAATATTGAAAGTACATAAATGCCTGGTACTTGTTTTTAAAGGAACAAATCCATGTATATTTTTTATCGTTTGTAGAAACTATGGCTTGCTTTTAGTAAACATAGTGTATTTTTTGCTCCTCATAGTGCAACGAATTTGTGATGCGAACTGGTTAATAATCTTAAGTCTTTTTGCAATTATTCCTTTACCAGCTGCCGTTTTAGCACGATCCCTTAATAGTTTCCAGGACTTGCATGAGTTTAGTTTATTGTGGGACACATTTTGAAACGTTGATGTAACCTTCGATTGGAGCGGAAGTGTAGACTTTGGTGACCGCTCGGACACTTCTGGATTAATAATTGGATAAAGTTTTTGAGACGAATTTTCATAGCACGTATTCCGCGAAGAACTTTGTAAAATTTAAACTGATCTTGTCATAATTAACAACGGAGCTGTTTATTTACTACGTTTTCCTTTTAATTTTTATATTGATATGTTAATGTTAGATTTTTTCGACCTCTTCGTTTTCACGCCGTGCGCTAAAAGCTAAGTTAGGGGTGCAACAGCAACAGCACTAATATTTAAAGTTTAGCGGTAAGCGTAAAAAAGCGGATAAAAATAATTCTGAAACATTTGCAGGAACATATCGTCAACAAATAGATTCGTTTTTAAATAAGCCAAGATCGCTTTTAGGTTGTGGAAAGCATTTCATGAAAATTCGTTTCAAATATTCGTCCCACAAGTGTGCAAGCGGTAGGTACTTCGACGTAATTTGTAGATTTGTGACGCAGTTAGTTGGTCTATTATAGTTTTCATTTATTGAAAGGTTGTGGATGCAATGAGAAGCTTTATTGTTTAATTTGTTTTATCCACAGGTCCAGTCTTGGGATGAAATGAAAATTTGTTGGGAGCAGAGTTGGCGTTGGTGTCCTTACCGATAGAGAAATGTAGATTTAAAAAAAAGGTACAGGATTGAAAATTCCAATAAAGGACATTATCTGTGTCATAAAATTTAAACCTTGAAACTATCCGTCTGAAAGAGCTTCACAAAAGGTTACGTGACGTTTTCAAAGAACTTTCGTATATGCGTGATGCAGTCGCAGTCTCAGCGTCACATTGGGATAATACAAAAGGGTCGCCTGCCGAAGACCACCACTCACTGACGGGAGCGCAGCCGTGCACCACCAATTTTGTGCACCAATAAGCCCTGAATCGAACGCCTTGGATCTCTCCGGACATCCACCAATCAGCCGTGAACCACTCGGCTTTGTCTTCCTCCGGCCTCGCATAGAACCTGCCGTGCACCACCAGGTCGCGGATCGAATCTGACTTCCTGGCATCGTTAAATTACGTAATTTTACGTTCACCGCATCTGAGGTTAGGTTTCAGATAGTATAGTTCTGTTCCAAAATTGTTCGTCCTTCGACAAGTGGCCGTTCGACCGAGGGCTGGTTCGACCCACGGCCTAGATCGGACGGCTTGAAGTGTTGAAGGCTACGTTCCGGAAGGCAGGAATCATGATGGTCCGTTACATCCAGGGCAGTTGTGGTCTTCGGCAGGCGACCCCTCACTGACCACTGCCCTGATGTAATGGACCATCATGATTCCTGCCTTCCGGAACGTAGCCTTCAACACTTCAAGCCGTCCGTATCTAGGCCGTGGGTCGAACCAGCCCTCGGTCGAACGGCCACTTGTCGAAGGACGATATATTTTGGAACAGAACTATGCTATCTGAAACCTAACCTCTGATGCGGTGAACGTAAAATTACGTAATTTAACGATGCCTGGAAGTCATATTCGATCGGCGGCCTGGTGGTGCACGGCAGGTGGTGGTCAAGGCCGGAAGAGGACAAAGCCGAGTGGTGCACGGCTGATTGGTGTAGGTCCGGAAAGATCCAAGGCGTTCGATTCAGGGCTTATTGGTGCACAAAATAGGTGGTGCATGGCTGCGCTCCCGATACAAACACAAGATTGAAAAGAACGTGTTATTCGTAAGAAGAAGCTAACATTACGAAGAATTGAACGGATATCAGGTACAGACTTGGCACTTGCAGCAGTTTAAAATGAATCTATGTTCCTAAGCTCTCAAACTGGCCTCAATAAACAAGCTTCGAGGCCTGCAAGTGCAAATGAAAGTCGTGGACAACCGGACAGGTTGAGCAGGATTAAGAGTAACTACTCTGTTCTAGGGCTTCTTATTCAGTGATTTGTATTTTGAATAAGTTTAACTAAACCTCGTCTCCTGCAAGCTAATAATTTGTTAATCTAAATGTTTACAAATATACGTGATTGCAGAGAAAGACTGATTGGTATCTGGAATGAAAATTTGGAAATAAGTATTAAAATCACTTGGCTGCTTAAGTCGCAAATTTACCAGGAATTTAAAAG